CAGCAAGTTTGTTTCTTTTATAAGTTCGTTGCCAAGGATGACGATGTTTGACTAGTCTTAAATATCGTGGAAGCCAAAAGATAAGGGTACCCTCCAATACATCTCCCGTCCCACAGACAGGATCGGCTGGAGAACAATAATGACAAATGCCATATAGACATGTATTGTTACCCTCTTGATACATGGTTGCGTATAATGCCGGTGTCGCGTAATTACCAATCTCTTCTTTCAAGTCAACTACAAATGTATTATACATTTCGTTCTTCATCAATTTATAACAAAAAATATTAATTAATATTTATTAAAGAAAGGTAATTATAATTAAGATTTTTATTGTAAATTTTAAAAAATTTAGTTGAAGAGTTTCTATTAAAAATAAGCAGAAGTCTAATTTATATATGATCTTTTTCAATCTTCTTCATTTTAACTTCAACATACGTTTTCGAATAACGGCGAGTGGTACTCTTCGCAACGCCAACAAGGACGATAAATGAAAAGCCACCACTTCAGCATTGTGGCGATCCTTGCCATGATACACTGGTCCATGTAGAATAGTGTCTCTGGAGTACCATTGTGGCTTGAATAATGCTTTTATATCATTCTCAAGATTAAGCATAAGCTTCAGTTGTGTACCTAATGGAGCATTATCCGCACGGACTATTTTAGATCTCCGCAAAACTTCCAAAATAGTCCCTAGTTCCGGTGCTGCCGGTGGTATCAACTGATGTGCATCTGGCCACTAAATATAGACATATATAATAAAAAATAAGTTATGTGTATTATACACACACACACGTGCGCGCACGCGCGCGCGCGCGCACGCACACATACACATATATATTTGTTTCTCCAATTTATTTCTTTCTCTAAATTATACTTAAAAATCTTTTTTTATCTCTTACGTTATGAAATGTAAAATGTTTCAAAGAATTTTTTAACTAACATTATTATTGGGAATATTCCAAATGTCTTCGCGGACATTTGGCATTATCGTCAACTCGGCTAGCAATCGTTCCAGAACGATAGTATAACTTGTATTCTGTTTGAAATACTTGGAAGGCAATGAACGAATCTCCTCTTTGATTCCTTCGCCGATAATCTTTACAATTGACTTTAATTGTAGCTGCAAATCTTTTTCATCGGATCGCGAAGGCGTGGAAGGACCTTGCCTAGCTTTCGGTTCCGGTAAATTTTTGGCGTACATCCTGTGCGAGGAAGAACTCTCAACAATCATTCGGATGAAGTAGATGTTTACGCTGAGG